CCCAGACCTCCCTGCCCCAGCTACCTAGCACTCCAGTTTGTTTGCTAATGTGGTCCGGGCTGGACATCTTCTCTGGCCTCAATTTCTAAGGAGGTGTTTTGCCTTCGTGGTGACCTCTTCTGTGTTGTTGTGTGTGGTGGCCAGGTGTCCTCATCGGTGCCGGGGCTGTATGCACTTAAGGGCATCCTTCCCTAGACACCTTGTGGGTACTGCCCTTGCATGTTTGAGTTCCCTTCCCTGGTGCGTTCGGGGAAAACCATTTTCATAGGGGTTTTTGCTACTCTGCATTTACCCCATCTTTGGACCCAGCTGGGGTTTCGTGGCCCTTGTTTGGCCTTGAGTAATGAGTGTTATCGTGCTGGTTGGGGCATCAAGGTGTTGTGCAGCCTGCCTACCTACACAGTGGCCGGTTTCTGTTTCTCTTCGGACAATGTACTTTTGCAGGGTTTTTCTTTTGTTTTTTTTGCCTGGTGGGGGTCTGCCTGGTGTGGCTATAGCTCCACTTTTAATATTTTGGTGGCCCTCTGCTAGGCCCCTGTGATTGTACATGTCACAGAGGTTAAATGTTTTAATCTCCCCCTCTTCCCCTTGTTAGCTGTGGGTCTTAACCGGTTAGCAACACCTTGTCCGGGCTTCCCGTAGTGGTCAGCCTACGGGCCCTGGAAATCCCAGTCGGGGCTAGGTGGACCTATGGATGCATCTTCCGATTTCCAAACCTCCGTCGTGCGGGTTTGAAGGTTGCTGTGTGCCCTTGTCTCATGGTGACAGTCACCTCTTTTTGCCTCTGTCATGCTGCCTGTTGGGTCAACGACACCTTTGACTCCGAGTCTTGCGATTGGTGTTCTCTGCTTGTTCTCCAGTACTATTCTCATGATATTACTGTTAGAGTACAGGCAGCATCCATGTTGCATGCTAGATTTAGGTTGCTGCAATGTGCTAGGTTTGGGTTGCTGCAATGTGCAAGGTTGGTTTCCCACCTGGATGCCCCACGGCTGCCCCACTTTGGTTAGAGGATTATATGACTAACGAACCTGGGGGGCGTTAGTCGCTTCGACTTTGGTTCAGTCCGTGCTTCCTGATCCTTTCCCTGTTGTTCACCTGCACCTCTCCCCTTTGTTCACCCTGCTTCTTCCTCTCCCCCGCTTCCGGCTCCCAAATGTCTGAGGGTTTCGGAGTCGGAGTAGGGTTTAGTTGATAATGAGACTCGGGCAGCTTCGGGGACTGCCCCGTTTGGGTTGGGACGGAGGCATTCGAGCTGGTTCCTTGTACTGAGGCTTCTGGGTCTCACCAGCAGGCCTCCTTCTTTTCTACCTTTCCCCTGGACTCTGCCTTTTCTTCAGGGGTAGAGGGTATGGAGGACTGCTATGCCCCAGGTCCCAACTTGGGGGATCCTGAGGTTGGGTAGGATTCGACCTAGGGGCCTTGGGGCCCCCTTTGACCCCGCTTGGGTGTTGCTGCTGTCTTCACGGAGCTTGTTGTTGTAGGGGGAGGGGTTTTCTTACCCTCCTTCCCTGTATGAAAATGATTTGGGGTCGGCTCCTGCCCAGGTTTGGTTCTGTGCCACGTATTTCCCCCTAGAGCAGTTTGGGAGGCTCTTGCTGCATAGCTCCTGTGAGACTAGGATTCCCCCTCAGTGATGGATCCGTCCTTATTTGAGTTCGGTTCTTCTTCCCCGTATTGGGTGGGTTTGGAGATTCCGGAGTCTTCCTGGCTTGCAGACTGCCCATTCCTTTTGTTGGAGGCGTGGCCTGGGTTCTGTTGGACCCGCACGCTTGAGTGGCAAGAAACTTCTACCATTGTTTAGGTTTACCTTGTGGGCGAGTTTGAGCACCTTAATGCGTGCTTATTTGCCCCTGTGCTTTCTTGGGATGTTGGCCTTGTGCAGCTGCACGTGCAGGTTCCTACCTTCTTTCGAGCAGGGTGCCAAGATTGTGTCCCTGGACCTCAGGGACGCGAATTAGCATGTCCCTATTCATCCGTGGTTCCCCTGACTGGTTAGGTTTCGTGTTGGGGTGTCAGGCTTACAGCTTTCGTTGCCTTTCTTTTGGCTTGAACCTCCTCACACATTCACACGTCTTTCTCGGGTCATGGTGACCCGTCTGCGTCTGCTAGGGGTTTGGGTCCTGGCCTACCTCGACGACTGGCTGGTGTGGGCTCCCAGTCCGTCCACTTGTCTGCTTGCCAGAGGTGTGGTTCTTTCCCAGCTTGCCGGGTCTGGTTTCCTGGTGAACTGGAGGAAGTCCCATCTGGTTCTGTCCCAGGTTCGGACCTGGCTGGGTCTTGTTTGGGACTCAGACTACTTCAATGTCTCTCCCTCCAGAGGCATTGCTGAGAATGCGGTTCCGCCTTTGGTTGTTTCTGGGGGTCCCAGGTCAGTCGGCAGTTACTCAAGCAGTTGTGCAGGAGTTTGAGCCTCACTATGCTGGTATACCCACTGGCTCGGGTTTGACTTCGGCATCTGTTCCGGTTCTTTTGGGGACACCCCTTCCGCTTCTCTCGCGATCGCTGGGTTTGTATTCTGTGGGCCTTGCATCGGTTGCTGCGTCGCCGGGTTTCCTCTTCGGGGTTTTTGGGGTTCAGTGCCTTGGCGCCTACCCGAGCCCTCGCTCGTTGTGTTCACGGATGTGTCGTCTCTCAGCTGGGGCTTTGTGACCAGTGCTCAGCAGGCCGGCCAGAGGCATTGGGGTCCATCCTTCCAGCGGGATCACAGCATGGTGCAGGAGTTTGCGACGATTTGGCTGTCACTTTGGAGGGATCGGGTCACTCGGGGTTCGACCTTCCGGCTCCATTTGGACTATTCTCTGGTGGTTCATTGCCTGAACCGCGGGGGTTCTCTTCGATCCTTGTCTCTTTGGGGCTGGTCGCTTCGAATGGCTCGTCTGCTGGCTTCTCGGGGTTTGGCTTATTGTGCAGTTCATATCTGGGGAGTGTCCAGCATCCTGGCAGATACTCTGTCTCGGTTCATTGCCTGGTCCACGGAATGGACGGTCGACGCCGACTCCTTCTGTTGTCTCTACCAGATGTATGGACTCCCGGACGTGGACCTCTTCACATCGGCGTGGTCTCAGCGTCCCCTGGTCTATGTGAGGCCCTTCCTTTACTGCGAGGCTGTCATGGTGAACGTCTTTCGGCAGGACTGGTTGAGGTGGGGTTACCTGTACCTCTTCTTCCCGGTCAAGCTGTTGCTTCGGGTTCTGGCTCGGTTGGAGTCCTACCGAGGGAGAGTAGTCCTCATGGCCCTTTGGTGGCCGGCTCAGCCTTGGTTCCTGGTGCTGCTTGCTCGGTGTGCAAACCCAGGACATTGTCTGCGGCTCCGCCTCTTCCAGCAGGTCAGCCAAGTCCGGTACATGGCTGGTTTGGTCTTCTCCTCCGCTCTTGGCATCTGGTCTTTTTGACACGGGTTTATCACCATCTGTATGGTGATCAGGTGACTTTGTTGATGGTATCCCACCTGCGAACTTCATCTCGGTGACAATAAGAAGTTTCATATTGTCAATATGGCGTTCTTTCTGCCATTTTCTCTCTCATCGTAGGTTATTTTCTATTTCTGATCGGGTTGTCTTCCCCTTTCTGTCTTGACTTTTTCAGGACCGTCATTTGATGCCTAATACTGTCGCCTCATATTGTGCGGCGCTGATGGAGCTGCTCCAGCCTGCATTCGGGGTGGATGTTACTTCTGCCCCGTTCTGTAAGCTTTCTCATGCTTTGTTTCATCTCCAGCCTGCTCATGTGCTGCCTGATCCATCCTGGTCCTTGGACAGGGTGCTCTCCTATCTTTCCTCTCCTTGCATTTTGGTGGCTCCTTCGGTTCAAGATTATTTTTCCAAGGCTCTGTTTCTGTTGGCATTGGCCTCTGGGGGGTCGGGTCGGTGAGCTTCATGCTCTCCTCCAACGCTGGGGTTTCTGCTCTTTCAGTCCTGGTGGTCGGTTTGTTCGGTTGCACAATCTCCTTCTCTGGCTAGACGGCTGCTTTTTGGAGGGGTCCTTGGGTCATTGATGCTTGGTTGGTCAGGCTAGGGGTGCATCATTTCTTGTGTCCGATTGCAGCTCTTCGCCATTATCTGCGGGCTTCTGCTTCGGTGGCCAGGAATGCACTTTGGGTTGATCCTGTTTCCCTCGTGTCCTGTTCCAGGGCTCGGGTCTCCCAGGTCGTCCGCATGGTTATCAAGTCCAGCCAGCCTGCAGTCTATCCTCGTGCCTATGACGTTAGGAAGTTTGCTGCATTGGCTGCCGTGTTTGGCAACATGTCTTTGGTTGATATTCGGGGGTGGGGATTTTAGAGGCCGAACAGGGTTCTGGCCGCCTGTTATTTGGTTAACATTTCTGCTCCTGGGTGTTCTTGTGTTGCTTTGGGTTGCAGGTTGCAACAATGAATACCATTTTTGAGTTATCCCCAGAGGCTCCCTAGCAACTCTCCCTCCATCCGGTTGGCGGTTTTTCGCGTTGTTTGATGCTTAGCTTCCAATCTGGAGTGGTAGGTAAACGGCACGGGTCTTTCCCCTCCCGCTCTCGGTGAGGGGAGGTCTACTCAGACGAGCGGCACAGTGGTGGAATGTGGCATTTGCTTGTTTCCTTGGGATTGAAGGGAGTTCTGCCTCTCTCTTTTTGGGGGGTTTATAGTTGTAGTTTTCTTACCATGTTTTGTTATGCCTACCTTTCTGCGTGCTTAACCCCAGTCAATGGCGGATATGAAAACCCCCCAACCACGGGTTTTTTCCAAGGCCATTGCTCCCTGAACCTCTCTGAGGGAGTCCAAGGTTCTGGCTCGTGGTCCCCGGTAGGCTGAACTCCATAGACTAATGCCCGAGTCTAATATATCACACATTAACCCAATAGCTCCAGAGAGCCTCCGGGGCTCACCCAGAAAATGGCATTTCATTACATTCAACGCTGTTTTTTTAGCCCAGTTGGAGGGTTGAGGTGTTAGAACTGCCCCACTTGTCCTGGGATGTCCATATCTATAAGTTAATGAGTCTTAACAAAATGGAAATGGTTTCCAGGAAAAAAAACTGACTCGTGGGTTGGTGTTGACTCGATCACCGGTGAGAAACAGCTGGTACTGGGTGTTGACATTGTGGATCGTAAGTGTCCTAAGCCTTCACGAAATACCGTGTACTTCGGTCGCACTGTATACAATATAATTCTTTATGAGGCATCAACTACTAACAAGTGGAACATCAGTTTCTCAGAATATGCTACAAGCACTTCATCCTCAACTGTTGAAAATTATGGTAAGTAAAGTCTTTTTATTAGTATTTTAGAATTCATGCTGATTTGTTCTCATTATTATTTTAGCAATAGTGTTAGTAGACCATTGCACTGGAGATAGTTAAGGAAATGTTCTTATTCATGTGGATACTTTCCAGAACACAACACAACCTAAAGGCCTACATTTCTTCATTTGACACAGTAGCACCTACTGGCCTACATGTCTACATTTGACACAGTAGCACCTACTGGCCTACATGTCTACATTTGACACAGTAGCACCTACTGGCCTACATGTCTACATTTGACACAGTAGCACATACTGGCCTACATGTCTACATTTGACACAGTAGCACCTACTGGCCTACATGTCTACATTTGACACAGTAGCACATACTGGCCTACATGTCTACATTTGACACAGTAGCACCTACTGGCCTACATGTCTACATTTGACACAGTAGCACCTACTGTCCTACATGTCTACATTTGGACATTGTCTCAATCAAACTCCCGAAACGCTTTGCATAGTGGCTTTAGGCATTGTATGTACTAGCTCTATCTATAAAGCCAACAAACTTTGTAAAATCTCTTTATGTATGTACCTTACCTAAATAAAATTATTATTATTATTATTATTATTATATAGTGCGAGCTCAGTAAATCAATTAAAGAATTTTTTTAGGAATCCTTTGGCAAAAAGAAAAAGTGAAAATAGTAAAAAAAAATTGATTTATAAAAAAAATATGGTGGCAGAAAAGATCCATTAAAATGTGGACTGGTATCATTGACCAGTCAGAGTAATAGAAATTAAAATAAAATTAAACGGGGAAATATCTCAAAAAGAAATAATGTTCTAACAAACAAGAAGATTATGTACATCAAGTTTGCTTAGGTTTTATGACCCTGACTAAGATATTGTAAGAAAGAGAGAGAATCTAGACAGACTGCATTGATCTGGACCTTAGTACAGCATTCTATAAAGTCCCGTATAAGAGATTGTTTGGGAAACTGAGTACATTGGAGGAGTAATTGGTGGACTACTAATGAGAATGATAAGTATTTTTTTTGGTAGAAAGCGGTAAAGCATACTTCTGGATAAAAGCAGTAAATAGAGGACATAAATTAGACTGGATGAATATCAATATCAGTATCCCACAGGACTTGATCCTAGTACATGTAATATTCATTGTATGTGTATACCTTCTTTTGATAATTACTTACTGTATATGTAAATGATCTAGCAACAGAACTGCAAAGTTATATGAATATATATTTATTTGCATAATTTGCAAATGATGCTAAGATCTTGGAGAATTAAAGGACATGGAGTGTCACACTCTCCAAAATGACCTACAGAAAATAGGTACATTGAGTAATAAATGGTTAATGGGATTGAATGATGACAAATGCCATATAATGAAGTTCAATGCAACATTCAGCATACTTTTTATTTTATTTATTTATATACTGTATATACAAGAGTTCTTATATTCTTGTACAGCCACGTGTAGCATTTTGGGCAAGACCTTAATCCTATTTTTCCCGAAATAAACCCGGTCAAATCGTTTAACAACCAGGTACCTGTTTTACTGTTGAGTAAACAGAGGCTACAGTTAAGGATTGACCCCCAGTAAATCCTCCGGCCAGGATATGAACCCAGGACAAAGCTCTCGTGAAACGCCAGGCAAGGGTCTTATCATTACGCCATGGGGACTGCATATAAATTATATAAGAGGACTAGAAGGAATTTAATTAAGGCAGGAGATTTAAGGGTGATCCTTGATGGTAAACTGCCACCAGAGGATCATATAGAAAACAGTGAGGAATTTAATGTAGATGGTTTAAGTCATTCTTAGAAAAACTGTTCTTGACTTGTATGACACGCAGATTTGAATATGCAACAGTTGATTGGGGTATTTATTTCTAAATAATTGTTGTATAAAGTAGAAAATGTTGAGAGGTTACTAAAATACTGTAGCTCCCAGAACTAAAAACAAGACCTATAAGGAAAGGTTAAGATTGGAAGACAAAAGAAAAATGATATGATCACCATTTATAAAATCATGATGCAAATCTATATAATTAATAAGGAGACATTCTTGAGACCCACAACATTGAAAACAAGAAGATAGATACAAATTACAAAAACATAGGCAATGTCTTAGCATACAAAAACACGCCTTTGCAAACTGAGTGTTTTATTGATGGAATGAATTAAGAGTGAATAGTGTGCTCCATCATAATTAGACGCTGTAAATCTATATAGGATAAAGAATTTAAGGAAGAAATGACACCACAACATTAACTTTTATAGCTACATTTAATAACTAGCCTTAGGTAATTATACACTTGTACACATGCATACATATTAATGATTTATACTATTTGTGCACTGTAGCTTTATCATTAGAATCATTGTTTTATGTAATGTAGAGTAAGTCAGTTTAAGTTCTCATCCATTCATGTAATACTATATTTTGTTTGCAGACTTGGTGCACTACACGTCAACGGGTGAAGGCTCTATACTTACAATAGACCAGCGGACAGGGTCATTACTCTGGACGCTGGAGCTTGAATCACCACTTGTAGCTATGTATCTTCTCAGTCCTGAAGGTGAATGGCAATCTCTCTTTAACATTAAGAATTTTTTATTTTTTATTTTTATAACAAAAAAAATCTTATTTATCTTAAAGCACTTCGTGATTTAAGATAAATCTGACTTTGTATACTTTAACACCTGCACTCAAAGTTCTCTTAGATGGCCCCTCTTGGTAGGCTCCTGAGACCTTCTTGGCCCGACAGTAGCAAATCCTACTACAAATACTAATACAGTACTGTAGCTTCCAATGATTAGTATTAGTATCTGTCTGTCTTCAGTGCCAGTATCCAGTATCTACAAAAAAATTTGTGATATATCTACTATGCACATGCAGGATTAATATTTCCTAATATTAATTTATTTTCGAGAGTACCGTATTTTATTTTTGTTTGTGGTTATGTTTTTGTTTGCTTATTTAGTCTTCTGATGGCTAATATTCACATTTTCTACTTGCTGATATATTTTCACCACTAAAATTTTTCATCTCTTGCAAAGTTTTTGGAATTTTGTGTTGTTGTTGTGTCAAAGGTCACTTGTGTGATAGTGCTCCACTCAGTGAGCAGGAAGGTTGTACATTAAACAAGGTGGTCATCTATTTACTCATGTGTAGGAATGAAACTAGGAAATGCAGAATATTTTCAAATATGGGGAAAGGTTTGGCAGAGGCATCAAGAGGAGGAGGAATGTAATTATACTCTCTCTCTCTAATTTATGAACGTGTCATGCTGGATGGAATTATATCTGGATGTTAGCAAGTCACTAATTTATCATATTTGAACAATGGAAGCAGCATAAGGGTTAACACTTTGGCGTACCCCACGCGCCACCCTTCAACTGTGCGATATGGGACCCAGGGTGTCACGGGAGCGCGCGTAAATTCTGAAAAGTGTATACTCTCTTCAACTTTGTCACCTTAATTCTCGTCCTACGAGATTAAATTTGGTATCATTGTGTTCGCAATAGAATTCTCTACAGCACTAAATGCATATATACTGCAAAAACCTGGCTAATTACCCGCAGCAAACAGAGAAAGTGCGAATGAGTTACCCAGGAGCTGGCAAACGCGATAAAATGTTTTCACTATTTTTACTCTGGTCACCTCAATTTTTGTCCTAGGTCTTTCATTTTGGTCTCAATGGGTTCGCAATAGAATTCTCTAGAGGAACATTAGCATATAAAATAAAAAAACTGGTCACGCTCCAACCGCCGACGAGTTGAAGACGGGCCACGCGTTAGCCGCGAGTGAGCTCTCAGACGCCTTCCAGCTACACTCCCAATTCCCTTCCTTTTCAAGCCTTTCTTTCGCAATTTTCTTCCTGGAAGGGCCTTGTTCATGATCACTATCCATTGTGGAGTAAGCGTAGATAGTTTCTAAAGCTGCAGTAAGAAATATAGCCACGGAAAATAGACGAAATGTTCACACGTTTGAGATGTGAGGGGAGGCGACATTGGTCACAACAGTGGAGCGAAAACAATGGGCCGACGGCGTGTGCCAAGCCACCTGAGGGCCACGAGGCTCAACAAAGAAAATGGGAAGACATTGGCGCACATTTTAAACCAGTCCCAAAAAAATCGGATAAACACCTGATTTTTGGCTATTATTTAAAGTGGATGATGCAATGCTGCGTCATCCCCGGTATTACTGCCAGTAAACGGATGACGCAATGCTGCGTCATGCCCGGGCGAAAGTGTTAAGTAGACATTTCAGAAATTACTATGGTACTAGATTAATTACTGAGATATATATATATATATATATACATATATATATATATATATATATATATATATATATATATATATATATATATATATATATATATATATATATATATATATATATATATATATATATATATATAACTGAAAACTCACACCCCAGAAGTGACTCGAACCCATACTCCCAGATGCCACGCAACTGGTATGTACAAGACGCCTTAATCCACTTGACCATCACGACCGGACTAATGAGGTGATAGCCGAGGCTATTTGAACCACCCCACCGCCGGCACTCGGATAGTAATCTTGGGCATAGCATTTTACCAAATCACCTCATTCTTTGGGGCACACGTGAGGAACACAAATGCGAACAAGCCTGAATGGTCCCCAGGACAATATGCAACTGAAAACTCACACCCCAGAAGTGACTCGAACCCATACTCCCAGATGCCACGCAACTGGTATGTACAAGACGCCTTAATCCACTTGACCATCACGACCGGACTAATGAGGTGATAGCCGAGGCTATTTGAACCACCCCACCGCCGGCACTCGGATAGTAATCTTGGGCATAGCATTTTACCAAATCACCTCATTCTTTGGGGCACACGTGAGGAACACAAATGCGAACAAGCCTGAATGGTCCCCAGGACAATATGCAACTGAAAACTCACACCCCAGAAGTGACTCGAACCCATACTCCCAGATGCCACGCAACTGGTATGTACAAGACGCCTTAATCCACTTGACCATCACGACCGGACTAATGAGGTGATAGCCGAGGCTATTTGAACCACCCCACCGCCGGCACTCGGATAGTAATCTTGGGCATAGCATTTTACCAAATCACCTCATTCTTTGGGGCACACGTGAGGAACACAAATGCGAACAAGCCTGAATGGTCCCCAGGACAATATGCAACTGAAAACTCACACCCCAGAAGTGACTCGAACCCATACTCCCAGATGCCACGCAACTGGTATGTACAAGACGCCTTAATCCACTTGACCATCACGACCGGACTAATGAGGTGATAGCCGAGGCTATTTGAACCACCCCACCGCCGGCACTCGGATAGTAATCTTGGGCATAGCATTTTACCAAATCACCTCATTCTTTGGGGCACACGTGAGGAACACAAATGCGAACAAGCCTGAATGGTCCCCAGGACAATATGCAACTGAAAACTCACACCCCAGAAGTGACTCGAACCCATACTCCCAGATGCCACGCAACTGGTATGTACAAGACGCCTTAATCCACTTGACCATCACGACCGGACTAATGAGGTGATAGCCGAGGCTATTTGAACCACCCCACCGCCGGCACTCGGATAGTAATCTTGGGCATAGCATTTTACCAAATCACCTCATTCTTTGGGGCACACGTGAGGAACACAAATGCGAACAAGCCTGAATGGTCCCCAGGACAATATGCAACTGAAAACTCACACCCCAGAAGTGACTCGAACCCATACTCCCAGATGCCACGCAACTGGTATGTACAAGACGCCTTAATCCACTTGACCATCACGAGGACTATGAGGTGATAGCCGAGGCTATTTGAACCACCCCACCGCCGGCACTCGGATAGTAATCTTGGGCATAGCATTTTACCAAATCACCTCATTCTTTGGGGCACACGTGAGGAACACAAATGCGAACAAGCCTGAATGGTCCCCAGGACAATATGCAACTGAAAACTCACACCCCAGAAGTGACTCGAACCCATACTCCCAGATGCCACGCAACTGGTATGTACAAGACGCCTTAATCCACTTGACCATCACGACCGGACTAATGAGGTGATAGCCGAGGCTATTTGAACCACCCCACCGCCGGCACTCGGATAGTAATCTTGGGCATAGCATTTTACCAAATCACCTCATTCTTTGGGGCACACGTGAGGAACACAAATGCGAACAAGCCTGAATGGTCCCCAGGACAATATGCAACTGAAAACTCACACCCCAGAAGTGACTCGAACCCATACTCCCAGATGCCACGCAACTGGTATGTACAAGACGCCTTAATCCACTTGACCATCACGAGGCTATTTGAACCACCGGACTAATGAGGTGATAGCCGAGGCTATTTGAACCACCCCACCGCCGGCACTCGGATAGTAATCTTGGGCATAGCATTTTACCAAATCACCTCATTCTTTGGGGCACACGTGAGGAACACAAATGCGAACAAGCCTGAATGGTCCCCAGGACAATATGCAACTGAAAACTCACACCCCAGAAGTGACTCGAACCCATACTCCCAGATGCCACGCAACTGGTATGTACAAGACGCCTTAATCCACTTGACCATCACGACCGGACTAATGAGGTGATAGCCGAGGCTATTTGAACCACCCCACCGCCGGCACTCGGATAGTAATCTTGGGCATAGCATTTTACCAAATCACCTCATTCTTTGGGGCACACGTGAGGAACACAAATGCGAACAAGCCTGAATGGTCCCCAGGACAATATGCAACTGAAAACTCACACCCCAGAAGTGACTCGAACCCATACTCCCAGATGCCACGCAACTGGTATGTACAAGACGCCTTAATCCACTTGACCATCACGACCGGACTAATGAGGTGATAGCCGAGGCTATTTGAACCACCCCACCGCCGGCACTCGGATAGTAATCTTGGGCATAGCATTTTACCAAATCACCTCATTCTTTGGATTAAGGCGTCTTGTACATACCAGTTGCGTGGCATCTGGGAGTATGGGTTCGAGTCACTTCTGGGGTGTGAGTTTCAGTTGCATATTGTCCTGGGGACCATTCAGGCTTGTTCGCATATATATATATATATATATATATATATATATATATATATATATATATATAAATATATATATATATATATATATATATATAAATATATATATATATATATATATATATATATATATATATATATATATATATAAATATATATATATATATATATATATATATATAAATATATATATATATAACAGGGTGGAAGCAGACCAATACGGACTGCATGGGTTGCATTGCGGAAGCACAAAGGGCTGGCATGCAAGACACAACGAGGTCAATGACATCATCAAGAGAAGCCTCGTCTCAGCTGGGTGCCCAGCGGAGAGAGAACCTCGCATCCTAGGGGTCCAAAACCCGGATTTCCCAGCACTTCGCCCTGATGGCATCACCATATACTCATGGAAGGAGGGTAGACAGTTGGTGTGGGACTACACATGTGTATCCACCCTGGCTGACACCTATGTACACTTCGGAGCTGATCAAGCAGGTGGGGCGGCCAACCACAG